AATGGAAAAGGTTGATGAAAGTTAGTTCCTTAATGAACTATACTATAGCCCTACTTGCCCAGAGGAAGAAATGTCTTTTTCTTAAGATTGTCTCAGAAATAAAGTAGATCTCAATATTGTATCAATAAAGGTTCATTGATTTTTCAATTCTTTCTCCTAAACTCCCTTTAGGAGAAAAGAGGAGATTAGCATAAGCATTTCACTGTAAGAGGTTCTAGTGATGAATGAGAAAGCATGAGTTCTTCTTCTACACTGATAGACTGCTGAAAGGGTTCCGTGATATAGAGATCAGAGATATATGATGGCGCTTTTTTAAACACATGGTACAGCTCAACTCGACTCAACTCTACTCTTTTGGTATCAGCTACTTCCTTTCCCCCTGCAGATATAATACCCCCTCAATGTAACTGGTCATCATAGCGATACCACATGAAACTGCTGTAACGTGAAGGAGAAATTTTGTTCAGAAGAGGCTGACGGCAGCAAGACAAAAGGCTGCTGAAAAAAATCAGAGTTTGGGAAAATTGCATCAGAATTCAAAGGATTTGACGATTCTGGTTGCTTAAATGGTGACGCAAGAGTGTACGCTAACCTGCGCTAACATTAGCATATGTGTTTAGAGTGATAGTGATGATTCTCTTTCACCAATCAGCAGTCTGCAGTTTTTCTACCGGCTTCTATTGGCTCAGCTCATTTGGAACCTCGACGGAGGTGATACCAAAAAAGTACCAGGTACCAGGTTTGCCTAATGGAACACCAAAAATGACGAGCAGAGACGAGTTGAACCGGTACCGTATAGTCTTAGGGAAATATTATCCAGCTAAGACTGGGGTGAGACGAGTAAGACACAACAGAGTTAATCCATATGTGAGACAATATTTTTATCAAAGTGAGAAAATCCAAGGGTTGTATCCCAAAATTTCAGAAACAGGAGAAAATGGCTAATCTCTCATTCTGATTTCAAACAGGACTTAACCCCTCAAAAGGCCAGCGCCCACTGGCTGGCCCAAAGTTACTACACACTTCTATAAACTAAGAATAGCTCAATCATTTTGCACAGAAGCCCCTGTAGTTACTGAATAATAAGCCTTAGCATGTAATAACCCTGGGATTGTAAGGGGTTACCCGTGTCTTGGAAAAGTACATGAGGTTAAGAGATGATATTTCTTTCTTCTGGGTGGACATGATCCCACGCTAAGCAGACATAGCATCACTCTACCTTACTACAACTTTCCCTGCACACATTTCTCCAGACTCTGTTCTTCCTCACACACGCGCACGGCACAGAAGGGTAATGGGATTTGTGAGAACAGTCAGTCCTCTGCAGCAGAGGTGAGCTAGCGAGGCAAACAGCACTGTAAGTGTAGCACAAAGTGAAACTGTCTCTAATTATAATGTGCACTATGGGAACTAGCACAAGCTTCCAAAGCCAGGAGTTCTGTCAAAGCTGAGTGGCAATCGCAAAGGAAAACCTGACTCATTTCCACTTCTGGGCCCTTTACCTGCACCTCCTGCCTACCTCAGATAAACTTTCAGTAAACCATTTGCATTTTTAAGACTTTATCTAAAATAAGTTGCTAGCACCAATATGACAGACGGCTTCCATCATACACTCTGGCTCAGCAGTACTACTCCTGGGGTAAAGTGGTTTCTCCAGCCTCGTCTTAATGTTCAAAGTCTGACATTAACAGCAATAAACAATAATTACAACTAATTACATGTGCTAAGCAGGAACAAAAACAAATCACACTATGACACAGAAGTACAAACCATGTACTTTATGTGGAACCCCTGACTCATATTAAAACTCGCTGGCCACTTTAGGAGCTCCACAATGACAGGTGGACAGACTGTAGACCATGTGTTAGTGCACAATTTACCAGCTCTTCTCTAACCCATTCATCATTGGTCACTTTCTGACCACAGGACCGGATATTACTTGGGTGGTGAAATTTTCTCAATGCAGCAGTGACACTGACACGGTAGTAATATGGTACCATAGAGTTTTTACATGTCAGTGTCACTGCTAGATTGAGAGTGGGCCAATACCCAAAAATATCTAGACAAAAACAGCTTTATGGTCAGAAACTGACCACTGATGAAGGAGTATAGCAGAGGTCTTCAAATACAGGTCCTGAATCCAGTTTCCTGTCCTGGATTTTGTAATCATTGGTAGTGGCCAATCAGACACACCAGCAGTTCAGTTAACTATACTCTTAAAAAAATGGTTCTTCAAGGGTTCTTTAGTAAAGACAATGGCTCTATATAGAACCATGAACACATAAAGAACCATTTGCATGTTTGAAAAGTTTGTATGGTGAAATGGCTCTTCAGATTGATAGAGAATCTGCTGTATATAGTTCTATATAGCACCAAAAGGGGTTCTGCTATTGTTACGATGTCACGTTTGTAAGAATAAAAGAACCCTTTCAGGTGCTATATAGAACCATTTTCAAAAAGGTTCTATTTATAACCATCTACAGCACATTCACCATGCTAAGAACCATTTAAACATGGTTCTTTGAGTGTTTATGATTCTGTATAGAACCATTGTCTTTACCAAAGAACCCTTGAAGAACCACCTTTTTAGGAGTGTACCAGTGATTACAAAATCCAGGACTGGAAACTTTATCAAAGGTCCAGATTTGAAGACTTCTGAGTTAGAGGTTGACTAACTGTTTGTCAAGAGATACAGTCTCTAACTGCATAGAAAGGTAGGGGTTTCTGATAAAGTGGCCAGTTACTGCTTACAGGATTTCAAATGTACAGTGCAGGGGTGCCCAAACTTTTGTCTTGGGGGGCCAAAGTGCAATGGCTGTGGTGGGCTGAGGGCCAAAAAGATGAAACAGTATACAGATAGAGAAGGTAAAGTCATGTGCAAAAGATTGAACCCCACCCCCCGTCAAATTACATGTTTTGTTGATTTTGTAAGTGAAATGCAATTTTCAGTGCACAATTGCTCTTCATATGCAGAGTTTAACATAGTGGAAAAATAAAACAACATATGAAATGTACCATAACTTTGGCACATACACATTTTATGTTTTAATTCCTTTTCCAATATGTTAAATTCAGCAAATAAACAGTAATGGTGTACAAAAGCATGCAGAAGTATGTTCTCTGTAGAGGACATGTAACTTATTTTCACTTAGAAAATAAAAAAAACACGTCATTTGACAAGGGGTGCACAAACTTTCGCATACGACTACAGGTGGGTTCCAAAATGAGTTTTTAAAAATGTATTTTACAACATCACCCTACTATTTTGTGACTAAAATATTTCCAAAAAAACAATTACAAAAGGAAAATAAAAACAATATGTAGTATGAAAACAGGTTTTCTGTGCCAGTGTTTGAGGGGGTGGAATTAGGGTACCTTTCTGGTGGGCCCAATAAAACATCTTGGGCAGCCCTGGTCTAGTGTATTTGTGCATGAGTAAACCAAATGCTGAGAGGGTGCATGGCTTGCTATAGAAGAAGGAGAGGTGCATTCAAAATGCAAATGAGGATTTATCACTGAATGGAGTCATCCTGAGTAGCATAAGCTGATTAGTCTATATCTGTAGGACTAGTCAATGAACACAAAAACACTGCAGTGCATGCAAGAATAAACAAAGAAAATGCAAGAATTCATAAGTGAAAAATAAGAGAACTGTCCCTTTAAGCTGGTACAAACTCTGAAAAATATCAAACCCCTAGATGGCGAGACCCTCAGTAGCTTTCTCAGTTGGCTTTACAGGAAGAGGATAAAGCCAAAGGAATGTGAGTTGACTGAAAGCAAGATAAAAATGTGTCGAATGTTAATGTCGGTGAGGGTGGCCCTTTAAGAACAGCTCTGACTCCACAACCAACTTTATGACTTGAGTAACCTGTATCTGTCCGTTATCTGGGTTAGTGGAGAATCAGACAGCGACTAGGCTTATTTTGGCAGTGCTGTTGATCTGGCCGCCAGTGCATTGTTCTGTTTTAATGATAAAAAGTTCTCCTGCTTTCCAGCCTGCTGCTTCAGAGTGAAGGAAACTCTGAGTGCACTCCAAATCAAAACCACATGAGCTCCATCACACTCACACTTCCACAGAAACAACAGAGAAAGAGCGAGAGAGAGAGTGAGAAGAAGAGCAGAGAGGGGCGCTGAGAGGAAAAGAGAGAGAGGGAGAGAGAAAGTGGAGAGAAAAAGAAAAGACAGACAAACAGTAGGTAGAGAGAGAAAAGAGAAAGAGAGAGAGAGAGAAAGGAGGGAGATAGAGATAGAGAGAGGGATATTTAATAGGGAGGGAGAGACAGAAAGAAAGAGAAAAAGAAAGGAGAGAGAAAGGAAAGTGTGTGAGAAGGAGGTGGAGAGAAAGACTAAATGTGAGAGAGCGGAGAGAGAAAGAGGGAAGAAAAGGAGAGAAAGAGAAGAGATGGACAAAAAGCAGAGAGAGAGATAGAGAGAGAGAAGCAAAAATATGAGGGAGAGAGAGACAGAAAGAGAGATAAAACAGGGACAGAAGACAGAAAGGAGAGAAAGCAAAAAAGACAGACGGAGAGAGAAAAAATGGATGAGAGATGAAAGGAGGAGGTGGAGAGAAAGATGAAATGAGAGAGAGCAAGAGAGAGAGAGAGATAACAAACTGAAAAGAGAGAAAAAAGCAGTAGAAAAAACTATAGAGAACAACAGAGAGGGAGAGAGAGAAAAAAGGTGAAAATAAAGAGAGAAAGAAAGAGAGAGAGAGAGAGAGAGAGAGGAAGGTATGATAAGGAATGTGTGAGGAAATGAACTGGCTCTGTGCCTCAGAAGGAGATGGAAAAGGGATTGGAGCTGCAATTCACTCTCCAACACACACACACACACACACACACACACACACAGACATGCTCGTTTATGGTGTTGTGTCTCTGAGCATCAGGAGGTCAAGACTGTTTCTTTTTCTGGTGTTTTGTGGCACGCTGAAATGTCAGAGTGAACACACACACACACACACACACACACTACAGATGGTAAGATTGGTGAGATCCTACCTCCATTGTCTTTGAGATGAAGAGCAATCTTGGTGTCATCTGTGAGAGAAGAAAAGAACAGAAAGAGAGAGAGAGAGAGAGAGAGAGAGTGAGAGAGAGAGAGAGAGAGATAGAGAGAGTTAAAATATGAAAAAGCATAATTTCAGCAGCTACTATTATATATTTTTTACCCAACAAACTAATCAGTGCAGGACGGAGAACAGACCCCAATCCCATCTCACACACACACATACACACAAAATCACCAAGCACTTTTGGTGAGAATTGTATATGTATATATATATATATATATATATATATATATTCAAATGACTTATACTGGATGCAGTACGTCAGTGAGGGTCAGTGCAGTGTGGGGTCAAAGTTCAACACATTTAACTCTCAGCCCTGTACTTGAGTAACGTGTAGCTCCATGCTGGACGGCAAACAGCAGCTCCGTTAAAAATGACAGCCAGGATGCAAAACTTTTCACCATGATTGTATATACGCTGCTTAAGCCATGAAGAACAGTGTTCCACCCTTCCAGTACAGTTCCACAGACCTGACGCTGTTCTGGCAGCTCGATGTAGCCCAGCACCTTACTGAGACACTCTGTGTTGGTTTTTCCCCTTATCTGTCACCTGTCTGAGTGAAGAGTGGCATAGAGACCAGAGGAAGCAGTGAAATGAGGCCAGCGCAAAAATAATGCTGATGTACTGGAAGTAAGTGAGATTAAAGCTCTGTTATTAGTTAACTAGTTTCCTGGCAAGTCACTACAGCAGCTATCATTAAAACTGAAACGTGTGCAGTTTGAAAATCATACTCTTTCACTATTTAGATTAAAAATGATTAATTGTTCAGCCTCAACGTGCACACACACGCACGCCATGGATTTTATAGCGATTCTGAAGTCACTGCAGCGTGCATATGAGAGTGTATGTTTTTTAAATCTATTGATCTTGGTTCTCTGTATCTTTAACTCCAGCGCAGCCCGGCCCTGAAACTGAAATAATCTCAGAGTGGAGTTTACTCACTGAAAATTAATTTCACTCCATCCTGCATTCTGTCTTCTTCTACCTGCTCCAGACATTCTGCATGTGTGTGCAGTTTATAAGAACCTCCTCTCTCTCTCTCTCTGTGTGTGTGTGTGTGTGTGTGTGTGTGTGAGGTAAGAAGAGGTTTACACTGTAAAATGGATGAAACAGATTATCACTGAGGTGACTGGAGAGAGATCCAGGGATAAAGGCAAAGGTGTGTGTGTGTGTGTGTGAGAGAGAGAGAGAGAGAGAGAGAGAGAGAGAGAGAGAGAGAGAGAGAGAGAGGTGGGATTGAGAGAGATAAAGAGAGGGAAGGAGAATGAGAGAAAGAATGAGATAAGAGATACAGAGAAAGAGAGACAGTAGGAGAGAGAGAAAAACGGAGAGAAAGAGAGATAGAGAGAGAAAGAGAGAGAGATCGAGGAAGAGACAGACAACAAGAAAGAGAGGGAATGAGAGAGATAGAAAGAGTAAGAGAATGAGAGAGACAGAGAAAGAGAGAAAAAGATTGAGAGACTTAGAGAAAAGAATGTGAGAGATAAGAGAGAGAAAGAGAGAAAGACAGAGAGAAAGAGAGAGCAGGTGAGAAAAAAGACTGTGTAGCATTATTTGTCATGCCAATAAAGCACCTTGAATTGAATAGAACTGAACTGAGAGACAGAAAATGAGAGTGAGAGAGACAGAGAGAGTGACAGTAAGAGAAAGAGAGAGACTTTGATTTTTAAACCCCTTTATTGAAGCATTATGAATTAAGAGATTTCACATGTTAGAGTAAAGAAAAGAGCTAGTGGTTATATTAATAATAATGAGGATCCCCAAAGAAAATTCACCAATTCACAAAGATTCACCAATGGAATGATATCACACCCATATCATTAACAGACACAACACTTTGACCAGCACACAACCTTTTCTCAAAACAGGAAATATTATGAGTACTTTGGTAAAAAACAAATTCAACTTTAATGCATGATTCCACTAAAGCTCTTAAAACATCCACCTCCTGCCCTTCAGACTCCAATCTGAAGGACTTCCACACTGCTAACTTTGCTTGTCCCACTAAGAAATTAGCCCAAGTACATTTGGAACACTGAGCTTTAGAGTCTTTACAGCCAAAAATAAACATAGTCTGGGTGAACAGGAACCCCAGCCCTCTGAGTGTCCTGTCCAGGAGCTTGAACAGAGGAATCAGTCTTTGACAGACGGAAAATGCATGGAAAACAGTATCTGGGTTATTACAGAAAATGCAAAGTGGTTGAAGAGCCGGGTTAAATTCTGACACAAAACCATTCTTAGGTACAGCACAGCGAAGGATCCTCCACTGGAGGTCTCCTGAACGTTTGGGCAAAGGGCTTTTGTACAGGAGTCTCCATGAAGGCCTCAGACCCTCAAGGACAGAGAGATGGGCTCTCTATTTGGAGTCACATCTCCCCTTCAGCTCACGAAAATGCAAGGATTTAACACAGCACTGGTACAATGCCTTCTTACTGGCTGTTGAGAAAGGCAACTTCTGCAACCCACACATAGAGAGGCTGCCCCTCCCTAACCCCGGGTCTGAGACAGGAGGGCTGACAAATAACTCTGGAAAGAACACTTGAGCCAATCCACCAGCCAGAGCACCAGTCACAATAGCCTTCAGAGGTGGAGACAAAGAAGCTTTAAAAGTACTGATTAGAGCCCCAATCACTCTCTCTGATTTAAAACAAACGTGCTGCTGTGTTAAAACACCAGTCATCTCCACTCTCCCTCCCTCAAATCAATCAGATGTCGAATGCATGTTACTCCTGCCTTCGTAAAAGCTGTAGCTAAACTGGAGGACTTGCAGAAGCAGAAAGGGGTTAGAAAATAAAGGCTCATCCAGACCATAATGTGCATCATTGCCCCTCGTCACTTCAAACAGCCCCCATGCATTTAAAACTGAACTATAAAAACCACAACCAGCTATTTGCTTTACAACATTCCACGGCATAGAAAAAGCTGTTTGTCATAGCCCAGTCCACCCAGTTTACAAAGTAATACCAAAGCAAAGTTAATCCAAGGAGCGCTGTCCTCCCCAAAAAGCAGTTTTTGTGCAGTCTGTAGTTGCATGGCCTTCACTCTGGCCAAAACCTGTATTAGCCCTTGGCCTCCTTCACCCAGGGGCAGATACAGTAGTGGTATCAGTAGTGATACCCATCCCAAAAGAAGTCTACAAAGGCCTTCTGAACATGATGTAGTAAATCCACTGGGAGGTCCAAAACAGTTAACCTGTGCCACATCATTGAGGCTGCAAAATTGTTAATCACTCTTCCCTGGTATGATAACTGAGGCAGAGCCCATTTCCACCTCTGGAGTCTCCCCAGAATCTGTTCTCTCAGTCCCTCCCAGTTCTTCTGCATATATATATATATATATATATATATATATATATATATATATATATATATATATATATATATATCCATCCCAAAAAAAAAACACCCAGCACTTTAAACCCAGGAGCACTGCTGAGGGAGCCGAGGTGGACTCTCCTGAAGCCAATGACCTTATAATAGTGCTGTGCTTTTGTTCCAGTTTATCCTTGCTGATGTGGCTTCCTGGAATTTTCCAAGGCACTCACGTACACTCTTCACATCACTCTCATCTCTAACGACAACTGTTACATCGTCGGCGTACGCTGTCAGTTTCACGGTTACACATTTCCCAGTGCCGGGCCTTTGGGCTGAGACTCTGTGAAGCTGCTTTCGGAAAGCCACTAGCAATCGCAATAGTATATAACAGTCCAGAGAGACCACAGCCTTAGCGTATCCCCCTGTTTACAGGGAAAGGCCTTGTGAGGCTCCCATTTATTTTCAGCAAGCTATATACATCAGTATACAACAGTTTAAACTGTGAAACAAATTTTGGGCCAAATCCAAAAGCCTTCAGTGTCCTGAAGAGAAAGGTATGATCAACCCTGTCAAAAGCTCTCTCTTGGTCTATGGATCTAGAGAAAGAGAAAGACAGAGAGAACAAGAAAGACTGAACGAGAAAGAGAGAGGGAATGAGACAGATAAAGAGAGAGACAGAGGAACAGAGAGAGATAAAGTGAGAGAAAGAGAAAGAGAGACTGAATGAGAAAGAGAGAGGGAATGAGAGAGATAAAGAAAAGAGAGAAAGAGACAGAGAAAGAGAAGAAAAAGAGAGAAAAAAGAATGAGAGACTTAAAGAGAGAAAGAAAATGAGAGATAAGTGAGGGAGAGTGAGAGAGAAAAGAAAGAGAGCAGTAGAGAGAAAAAGAGAGTGAGAGACAGAGATGGACAGTGACAGAGAAAGAAACAGAGAGAGAGAGAGAGAGAGAGAGAGAGAGAGACTTGGCTTTCATCTTTTTTCACAGCTCTGACCTGAACTTGATCTCACATCCTTTCTGATCTAGTCTAATAAGAGTGTGTGTGTGCGTGTATGTGTGTGTGTGCGTGAATGTGTGTGTGTGTGTGTGTGTGTGTGTGTGTGTGTGTGTCTTTGTGCTGAGTTCAAGCAGTCATTTCAGATGAACAGTGGTCTATGAGCTTTGCAGCAATTAGAAAGCATTAATCCTTACAGGCACTGAGGGGTGTGTCAGAGTTAGTGTGAGACAGTCATTATGAACATTCACTAATCAACACCATGTTTCAGTAAGACACAGAGATGTGTTGTGACTCTATGAGAGAAACAGGCTAATGGGCCTTTTTCACACTCCTGCGTATGTCCAGTTTAGCGTAGCGTTAGCTAGATCTGATCACTTCCGCTCCTAACAGCTGCAGCAGGAGAGAAACAGATTGTCAGTGCAGCGTATAACAGTGCCCTACAACAGCCATATCTTAGATTTCATGCATTCCTGAGTGACAACAGTGAACTGCATCCATGAGGAGCGTACTTATATACACAGTTTTCTCAGGGAAGGAAAGCTTTAAGGAAAGCTCTGAAAGAGGTCATGGTTAGGGTCCTTGGGTGACCAAGGTTCATACAGGGGAGAAAAGCAGGTTTTTCAAAACCGCAGCAGCAACTGCTGTGTCTGATCCACTCATACTAGTGCACCACACACTAACACACCACCACCACATCAGTGTCACTGCAGAGCTGAGAATGATCCACCAAACTAATAATACCTGCTCTGTGGTGGTCCTGTGGTGGTCCTGACCATTGAAGAATAAGGTAAAATGGAGTATCAAAGTACGCAGAGAAACAGATGGACTACAGTCTGTAACTGTAGAACTACAAAGTGCTCCTATATGATAAATGGAGCTTATAAAATAGACAATAAATGTAGAAACAAGGAGGAGGTCTTACTGCTGTGGCTGATTGGTGTATAAATTAAAAAAAGATGAGCATAAAGGACCAAAAATCTGGTCGCTCTCAGTTACATCTAAAGCCCGCTCCAATTAACTTGAGTCCTATGCATTCGTCAGTCAAGTGTATTGTAAACAATAGGGCGAGGGACAAAGACGTAAATGGAAAGACAGAGAGAGACAAAACAGAGACAGTTTCTGTTAGAAGTGTAGCTGCAAGCATTATTTTGAAAAATCTCCCCTCACTTTCATTCCACGCCTCGACTGGCCCATCAGCTCTATACATTTAAGACTTTAAAGAGACTCTGCCTCTACTGACAAGCATTACAGAAACACCATGTAACCTTTCATTCATCCACACTCACACTTACCCAGCCACAGTTACACTTAGCAGTTGTGACAACATTTAATAAACCTTTCAACAGAAAAGTGGATAGAAGGCAAGAGAAGGATAGATATGGTGCTGTTTACTGAGCCAGACTCTGGTGGTAGATGAATGAGAGTTTGAATGAAACTAGGGAACCAGGCCAAGCAGACAGAGCTCTGAACTCACTGTATAACAGTGGTCAGAAATGTTGTACCTCCTCAAGATCTATAGCCACATGCAGAAGTTTGACCACCCCTGGTTCAATTGCATAAATTTTCTTCAAACTGTAGTGCACAATTTATATTTATTTTTGACATACAGCAAAAAAAAAAAGCTCAAAATATCAAATGTTTTATATTCTATATAAAAATATAAAAAGCCTAAAAACTAAAATTTTGGTACTATATAGAACCATTTTCAACATACTTTCCATCAATCTGAAGAACCATTTCACCATGCAAAGAACCATTTAAACATAAAGTGGGTCTATATAGAACTCATGGATCTAAATAGAACCATTCTTTTAATAAAGAAAGCTTGAAGAACCATCTTTTATGTAGTTAATATATCTATAATATAATATTTCTCATGATGAGACTGTTGTAAGAATGTTATAAGATTATTTAACCTATGTCTGCATTTTTACTTGTTTTAAGTCTCTTTATCTGGTAAGATGTGTCTTATTCCATTTCCTTTGACTTGTTTGTAAAAATAATACTTCAAATAAGTCAAATGATCTGTCAATGGAATAAGACACTTTTTATAAGATAAAATGACTAAAAACAAGTTTAAAAGGTCTAGAAATAAGTAAAATAATATGACAATATTCCTACAAAAATCTCATCATGAGAAATATTATACATATTTAAGATGTTCTCACTCTTTGAGACATCATGTTTTGTACTGCGGGACTTTTAATGGGGTCAGTTATCTGGGGATTTGTGGGGAGATTTGGATGGGGGGTAGAGAGAGAGAAGGACAGAGTGAAAGAGGGACAACAGAGAGTAACAGATCAGGGTGTGTTTGAGTGTGTAGAGACGGTGTCAGGTGTGTCTGGACCTTCGGTAGGTGCGCTGGTGGGGGGGTGTGAGGTGGTCTGGGTGGAGTCTGCCTCTGTAGCCGCTCTGTTTCTGGTGGTTGCTTTCGTCACTGCTGCTGCGGTGGAGGACTGGAACTGAGTGGTGCTGATGTCACACGTGTTATCCTTCGTCTGAAAGAACCAAGAGCAAACAAAAACATCAACACAACAAGCACACACACAACAACGGTTCTAACCCTCTGACCTCACCATGATCTCTTTTGATATGGTTTCTTAAGGACAAGATTCAATGCATACAATATTTCCCCACAATTCTACATGTGATTATTTTTGTTTGATTTAATTTTTTTTGTCATTTTTTTTCAGTGTCAGAAAAAAAACATAATATTTAGTAGAAAATTAGACAACAACTAAATATAATACAGTATTTTTTTCAGTATTTAATGTGCACCATTTGCCTTTATTACAGCTTCAATTCTTCAAGTTTTTCAAGAAAATCTGGAGGGATATTTTTCACACGTCCAAAGTTCAGTCTCAGAAGTTGGTTGCATTTTATACTTCTAACAATCCAAGTAATCGCAAACACATTCAGTGAGAACACAAACAGCTTTCTGAAGACATTTGGTATTTCTCTTTTTTCACAGTTTCCTACTAATTATTTGAAAGCTATAAAATTGCACAGGACTAAGATGGCAACTTAATTCTCTATATTTTTCTGAAGCCTAATTCATCACTGAAAAGACTGCACACCTTTGACCAATGGTGTATTTAAAAACTGGATGATTCTGTATCATAGTTATGAATGATTTATCTGTCATCATGAATGATTCATCTATTCACACAGTGACAGGACAACTTTATTTTTACCATTTCAATTTTAAATGCTTAAAGTTACACTTATCATATTATACCTCATGCTTTATCTGCCAACAGTAAAAAAAAAAGTATTAACAGGATAGTATTAACATTTTTGTACTTTTTAAGTAACTACATTTACATTGTAAGTCATTTTATGAAGTGAAATTATCTTACAATATAATAATATAATATAATATAATACATTATAATATAATACAATAGAATAACAAATGTATTTAAAAGAAGTAAAAATTGTCCAGAAATAAGTGAAATAACTGTATAATAGGCTAATGACAGTCTCACAATGAGGAATGTTAGATATATCTACTAGTTTCAGATAATTTCACTTGCAAAGATACCATAAAAATCAATACTATAAAATATCAAATTAATGGTAAATATGATGATAATTAAGAAGAAAAAGGAAGGATTATTAATAAGTGTAACAGCATAAGTCTACAAACTATCATAATATAGTAAACTATGTCAGGGTAGGTTAGCAGTTCTTTCTTTTTGCTATTTTTGTTGTTCCTGACTATAACAAAAAAAAAAGAAAAAAAGAAAAACAATATATTTTGGCTTTAATTTGAGTTTTAAACTATAATTGGCAGGTATGTAATAACTGATATCTGACAGCTCTTTCTCAACATATCTTGTTCTTTTTTAACAACCATCCCATAAGTGGCCCCCCTCTGCCCCCCCTCCCAATTTGCACCAGAGCCTACAAACAAATGTTCTGCTCCTTAAAGGAAAACAATCAGTAGTGTTATTAAATGTAGAAAGAATGTGGAAAGAAACACCAAAAAAGGAATGCATTGAAGCAGGATTTCAACATATGATGTCATTCATCATGAGACCTCAGCAACAGGCCAGGTGCACAAACAGAGCATTAACAGATGCTCACACACACACACACACACACACATACAGAACACACACACTCACACACACACTCACACACATACCTCATCTGGGCAGCTGTTGTCAACCCAGTCCTGCCGATGGCGATCAAAGCCACTGGAACATCTGAAATGAGAATAAAAAATCATTAGCATTGTTAACGAGGAATCTGTTAACAAGCCAATAAGTACAGAAATGAATTCCACTTCCATGCATCACCTGCGTACCAACACAATAAAATGAGGGCGGATACCACTGAAGTAGACAAAGCCTCCAGCCAATGAGAAAAAGAGTCGATTCTTTATTGATTCAATGACAGAATATGCTAGTTTATTGCTAATTTGATGAGCAGGATAGATATACATATAACAATATAATAAAGCACAAACAAGGTTGAAATAACAGCCCCCAGTAACAGCACTCATGCCAAATAGCCCAAGTGTCTGGGGTGGGTGGGAGCCAGCAGGTGGGAACTGACCATGACTGAAGTGGAAGAAAAACAGGTTAAAACAGAAATGTAAGCTTTTTCACTATAATTACATTTAATAACTGTTGTTAAATTGCTTTCTGTTGGCAATTTTGCTGTCAGACCTTTACTGTTATTTTAAAAAGGACTAGCAGTTTTTTTTAACAGTATGGGTTTCAGATGGTTAACTTCTCAGGTTTTAAAAGAAAGGACATTGGAGTGTGGTCAGACTGGCCAGATCTAAATGACCTGTGCTGTAGAATAGGTTAAGGTTAAGAGATTTGGGTTGGGCTCTGGCTAATGGTGAGTTGGTGGATGTGTGTGGTGGAGTTGTGAAGGATCCATCAGTGTCACTGGAGGCAGCATTAGACTGTAACAGAACAGTTCACAAACTACAGCTGATGAAATCAAGACGGGCTCTAATGAAAATTAAACAGACGCAGCAAAAGCAGCTCTGGACTGGACTGAAACTTCAAGAAGAGCTAGTGGATGGATATTTTGGATGGTGGACCACTCTCAACTCTGACACTGATGTGTGTGAAAACTCCAGCACCACCTTTGCCTGATAGACTCTTATCAGCACTGCACACACTATCATGTCAGTGTCATTGCTGTGTTGAGGATGATCTACCACCCAAATAATATTTAGTCAACAGCAGTCCTGTGGTCAGAAACTGACCAATGATGAATGGTCCAGAAACTGACCAGAATTAAACTATGTCGTGCTATACTACACAACACTACACTATGCACTATACTATACTATACTATAATATACTATAATATACTTTATTATACTCTACTATACGAAGCTGTACTTTTAATTTTAATTTTTTTTTTTTTTAATGTAAGTTGACTGAAGGTCCGAAAAGGTCCAAAAAGAAGACAAATTTGTAAAGTGTAAAGTTATGTGAGTTATGCCTCTATAGGTTTATTGGTACTAGTATGTTACATCACATACTCCATCATAAAACACAAAGATAAATTAATACATAAACCAACTGATGAGATCCAGATCACCTCTTATACTAGCTTCATAGCAATAAAAAATACTGTAACAATTTATGTGTAAATCATTATGCCTCTGAAAGCTATCCCATAGAAAGTTAGCAATCAAATGGCTGCAAACACACTGCCTTACGCTTGAGACATTGTTTTATTTGCTTTTAACCTAAAGCATTTTTTTAATATTTAAATCAATTCATGGTGGAGGGGTACAAGTACGGCGTTCTAAGGTAAAACAGTCCCCAAAGAAAACTTCTGTTTCAGATTTAACAGTATTTTACCATAATTAGGGTTACATATAAAATCTCAGAAGACTGTGTAGGTTAACTGTTCATTTTAGACAGTAAATAAAATGGCTGGGCTGTATTTATGTTGTAGACATTGCGCCCCCTGGTTCCCTTCACCACCACTGTAAAGAAATCTGATGGACCATTTCACATCAGACCAGTGTGAATGACTCAATGATGGATCTATGCAGAAAATAATAATTAAAAATGTGGATATTCGAATTGCAAAAATTGCTGCCACTACCTAATTTCAATGCAGACTGCAGGGGAGACTAAAGAACATGTAACTGCGGGAAGGTGCTGGGAAGAATGAAAGTGGGAAAGTAAAAATGTATGTCTCTCTTTCTCTTCCTCGCTCGCTCTCTCTGGCTGAGAATGAGACTGTGCTGGCGAGGATATGGGCCATTGTTAATGTCCTCCTCTGATACACTCATTACTCTGACTGCCTTTCTGCTTCAGGCACTGCCCATTCTTCACATGCTTCTTACATTCTCCACTTAAACATACTATCTCTCTCTCTCTCTGTCTCTCTCTGTCTCACAGATATATTCAGGGCAGTGAGAGACCCACCTCCTCACCCCTGTCACCACACAGGAGGTTAACAAAGCAACAGTGTGTGTGTGTGTGTGTGTGTGTGTGCACGTTTGTCTGCGCGTGTCCAGTGACTGGAGTCACTTTGTTATTGTACAGATAATAGCCTTATCCTGGTGTGCAGTGCTCTATTAGAAATGTCAGCCAGCAATCATATTGAGTTTTTTGCCACTGGCTCAGCGGCCAGTCTTGCTCCCCACAGTAACTGCTCGCTGTGCCAAATCAATCCTGTTTACATAATCAAACCAAATGAAAACAAGTAAACAACAAAGTCAATCCCCCCGTCGAGGCAATGAGGTGAGACCGATCCCGTCTGTCTGTCTGTCAGTCAGTTTGGCATTCCCAGCAGAAATCACTAGCATCTGAATCTGCTCCCACTGGAATTTTTCCCGCTTTCAATAGCCTCTGCTTTCATCCCGCTCGGCTCTGCAGCTAAATGCCTAATTGTGATCGGGTTGCATTGTGTCATTTGCATATTAATGAATGCAAATGCAAACGGATTGGCTGTGTTCTGGTGGAGTTCAGTATCAATATGATACCAGGGGAAAAGGAATGTACTGAACAGCTGCAGCTGCGTTAGGGGCATAACAGTGTACAAATCCGATTAGAAAATGGTCATCAGTCAGGACTTCATGCAGATGTTATCAAGTTGCTGAAAATTATTTACTTATATTAGTTATATTAGTTTTCATTATTTTTTTTAGAATGAATAGTTACTGAATCATTTGCTGTAGCTACCAAATTATTTATGGTAGTCACTGATTGTTTACAGTAGTTGCTGAATCATTTGTAACAGTCACTGAGTCATTTATAGTAGTTGCTGAATTATTTATGGAATTGGAGTTACCTAAAGTCTTAAAGTAGTTACTAACTCATGTATAGTAGTTAATGAATCTCTTATATTCATGACTGAATCTTTTATATTCATCACTGAATCATTTACAGTAGCCACTGAATCATTATAGTAGTTACTGAATCATTTTTGGAATAGGAGTTACCTAAATACTTAAAGTAGTTACTAAATCATTTATAAAAGTCACTGAATCATTTATAGTAGTTAATGAATCTTTTATATTCATCACTGAATCATTTATAGCAGTTGCTCAATCATTTATAGTAGTTACCAAAAGACTTAAAGTAGTTACTAAATCATTTATAGTAGTCACTGTCATGTATAGTAGTTAATGAATCTTTTATATTCATCACTGAATCATTTACAGTAGTCACTGAATCATTTATGGTAGTTACTGAATCATTTTTGGAATAGGCGTTACCTAAATACTTAAAGTAGTTACTAAATCATTTATAGTAGTTACTGAATTATTTATAGTAGTTACCAAAAGACTTAACGTAGTTACCAAATCATTTATAGTCATCACTGAATCATTTATAGCAGTTACTGAATTATTTATAGTAGTTACCGAAAAACTTCATGTAGTTAGTAAATCATTTACAGTAGTCACCAAATCATTTATAGTAGTTAATGAATCTTTTATATTCATAACTGAATCTTTTATAGCAGTTACTGGACCACTTATAGTAGTTACCGAAAGACAATGTAGTTACTAAAGCATTTACAGTAGTCACTGAATCATTTGTAGTAGTTACTAAAATATTTAAATAGTTACTGAATCATTTATAGTACTTACCGAATTATTTACAGTAGTTATTGAACGATTTAATAGTAGCTACTGAATGATTTCATAGTAATTAGTGAATGATTTAGTAGTAGTTACTGAATGATTTATTTGTAGTTATTAAATGATTTAATAGTGGCTATTGAATAATAAGTCTTAAGTTTAATAACTGAATATTAAGCCTGCAGGTTCAGGGGTTAATACTGTGGGTGTGTTAGAGCAGGACGGAGATTACACTCTGCGGCTCAGTGGTCCTCCCTACACAGGGCTGAGAATCAGTGTGACAGGAAAATCCAATAAACAAATCTGATTACAGCACCTTTTTGTCTGACTCACTTATCTCACCACCGCTCAGAATCATATCAGCAGTGTTCTGATTCCTGTAAAAAAGCTGGAGTAATAGGCGCTGCTATGAAAATCAGAGAAACGACAATTTAGACAGGGAGCTGAAATGAAATATGAAAATCTGAACAGTCTCATGGGAGTGCTGCAAGAACAGCGCTGCGTTTCTGCTTCTGATTAAACAGGAAATGTGTCAGCATTTGATTGCAATTTGCACTCTGACAGCCTTGCTTTTAAAGGCTGGTGCATGTTAGATACAATTTACCCCAGCCACCTGCACACATATAAAATAGAAAATGTGTCACAACTTTGGACAGGGTGCATTTTATTTTTTTTCAATACGTTAAATTCAGCAAATAAGCAGCAATGGTGCATTAAAATGTGCAGAGGTGTGTTCTCTGTAGAGAATGTGTTAACCATGGGCACACAAACTGTTGCATACAACTGCATTTTTACAACTTTTGCGGGGGCTAAATATTCTTTCAATGTGTGTTCAAGGCTTGTGCCTCCACAAAACCAGCCACTGCATGTTACTCAAATGTCAGTATCTTGAGCGAGATATGTAATCAACTGCACATCAATACCCCAACCCAGTTTTGTGTGGCCCTCCCTCAATGCAGGGAGAGAAGCGTGCTTTGTTTTTCCATATACATGGCCTATATATAGTGGCAGAGTGCGTCCAATTTGCATCTGAACCTGGTGTAAAATGCTCAGTTATCAGAGTCAGGCAAGAAAATGAACCAAGATGAAGTGGTTTTAAATATGCTTGAAGAGGACTAGCTCATGTTATTGACTAGA